CTCAAGAAAATCTAAGGAAATTCAACTTAAAAACACGATCAGTCACTCGCTTAGCAATGAAGGCAAGTGAAAATATGTGGCCAACGAGATTTTATTTTTAAAACATGAAATAAATACTTGAATACGTCGAGAGCACACAGGAGCGGGCATTCTATAATCACAATAATCACAATAATCACAAATTTCACAAGCACAAATCGGCATGCAACTACGGAAAATTTATGTTTAGATTCGAAACAGACGCTCGCTCTCGCAGTTCAAAATTATTTTTGCTAAAACTTTTAATTATCGACGTTGATGTCGACGTTTCGGTTCTGAGGATGGGAGAGCGCGGTTTGCACCTCGAAGTTTTCACTGTAAGACAACACAACTTATATATTGTACGAAGATACAACATTGAGTAGCAATGAAACATTGCAAACAGGAAGAGGGGAGAGCAGCGCATTAGGGGCTTAAAAGTTTAATTTACTCGATTTTGTGTATTTCACGTATAAAAAATATTTCATTTTAGTTCTGAAACACCTTGAAGAAAAGTCTTATTTTTGTTGGAAGAACAAATGGAAACAAATGCTTTGAATATTTCATTGCTTAAACTTTAGCCCCACAAATTCTGACCTAAATATAGTTCAAAGCTCGTTGACTAAAATAAATTTAACAAAAATTCTTTAAACATTTTTTCAATATACTACGAATAGATCACCTAACATTTTAGGTAAACTTTTTAATGCCTATTAACTTAAGATACTTCTATACTGAAGTATATTGAAAGAAATTATATTAAATATTAAGTATATATACATATATACATAGTAAATAAAATTATTTTATTATCAGAACCAATTACATTATTACTATTTTAGATAAAAATTGTATTGTAACTTTAATCAATCAAGCTTTGGCATATTATGATTATTATTAGAATTTCTCACAGTCGTTCGTCTGGTATTTCAGCTTCTTGGGTTTTAGAGAAATAGAACAAGGAAATAGGTTCTGTGTGAATATATTATAAGCTATAAATTCTTATCAGAGAGAGAGGTACTCTCTGAATAAGTTGGTTGATTTTATTAATACTGCTTTTGTGAATTTCTATACCTACATGTTTTGTAAGATTGATATCTATAATTCCTTTTATTGTTGGCATTGTTCTCGTTAACTATTTATTATTGGTATTATATTGATTATTGTGAGGTTTTGGCCCACAACAACTGTGCTAGTTGTTGATATTTATTATTTTTAATGTTGTATATTCCTCTTATATTGCTATCCAATGTGATTATATATATATGTATATCTATAGATATTTATACAGTATATATCTACAGATATATATATAGATATATTATATATATATATATATATAATATATATACTATAGTAGTCATATCTATAGGATAGGTATACTATCTATAGATAATATATAGTATATATCTATAGATATATATATATAGTATATATCTATAGATATATATATAGTATATATCTATAGATATATATATAGAATATATATAGTATATATCTATAGATATATATATAGTATATATCTATACTATATATCCAGTATGTATGTTATGTTTGTTACATACATATATCCAGTATTATATTATAGTTACTACTATTATCCAGTAGATAATTTAGTGTTATCTTTTGTTGTGTGTTCATGGTGATCATATATTCGGCCTGTAATATGTTTTTTCTGCGTTTGTTAATATTAAATTGTTTTAGTAGATTATGTACTAGCTTGTGCTGAATATGCGTTTTGGATCGTAATTATAATATTTTGTGTGATGTTCTCAGTGTTTTTCACTGTTTGATAATGTTAATATATAGAATTATGGATATGCAATCGTGCTTTTCCTTATATTTTGCGTTATTAGTCTTCAGATGCATATCAAGCATATTTCGTTTATTATAAGGGGGCTTGTTGGATATATCTTGTACATTTTCCAGTAATTACTATCTAATTTCGTATTGCTAAAAATATATAATAAATTTGTGTTGGGAACATTGAGTCTATCATAATCCATTTATAACCATTGGTTTTGTCTATGTTTTACTTGTCTATTTTATTTAAATATATTTTATGTAATATTTTACTCATACTCTTGTATCGTTCTAATGATGGTTGGTTGATGAGAGAACTGTTTTTTAGGTTTAGTGATGTGAGGTTATCATCTGGTTGTATGATAATGTTTATAAAATAGATGTCTAAGAACTATTATAGAAGAAAAAACTTGATTTATACATATGCCGTTGATGAAGCACCTATTAAGTTGTTATTTCTCTGCCTCCAAGTCCTCTGGGTATGTTGATATATTTTATTGCGGCATTAGGGTAGTAATATTTGTGCATATTGTTCTTATGTAACAGCCCATTTTTTGCGATCCATTTAATTATTCTAAATGAAATTGAGAAAAGAAGTATTAAGTAGTTATTAATTGCTTTCATCAGGTTTTATTATTAATATTTTATAAAGAGGTTTTTTCGAACAGTGGTGAAAATACAACAACAAAAATTTTATTTTTTATGTTATTTCCATTATTATTTTATGTATTAACAGTTTTGAAAACTATTAGAACCCAAATAATTGTAATAAATTGGGGCACTTATCTTACCTCTCCATATTTAGTTAATCATCTGGTTTTAATGTCATCTCTTACAAGTTTTATTAAGTCAATCGTAAAAATTCCATAATGTAAGAAATTTTAGATTGGATTCACTAATATTGTATGATTCGGATCTTAAATGTAAGACCTAAGATGCGTAATTTGTTCAGACTTCAAACAATAAATACTTTCATGTTAAGAGTTATATTTAATATTACTATCGTAAGAATTATAAAGATCTCATGTAATCTTATCTTATGTAAGATGTAAAGCATCTTATGTAACTAATGTCTAGATCTTGGAACTGGATGGCCTGTAAATTTCATTTAATCGTTTTGTATTAAAATCGATAAATTATCAAATTTTTACAGTATAGAAATTCTCTTTTTAACAGAGTATATAAAATTCAGATTTATATAAGCAAAAATAAAAATAATTGTTTGGATAGTAACTTTTTTCAACAACAATATTTCAGTTACATTTATTTCATGTCACTGAAATTTTAATGCTCTTGCCGCATAATTAACATGTCCTTTCTAAAGAGTATCTATTTATGTAAATATTTTTAGTTTAGACGTCAATATTTCTTGTGTTCAGGCTTGCAAATCGTTATGAAATTTTACATCCTTATCCATATTTATACTCTCAACAATTAAATTACAAATTACTGACAAAAATTACAAATTATTCTAAATCCAGTTCTGTGTTTTCCCTTTTAAGTTTTTATTCAGAATCTTCAGAATTACCTTTATTTAAATCAAATTTCGGCATTTTTTATATTCATAGATAATCATATGATTTTTTATATATTCAGTTAAAAACTTATTAATGACAATTTATTCCTGTTTATATTAAGGTCCTTACAAACGCTACCTTTTCCTGAACTTTTTATATACAATTTCGTACGTCTATTTCGGCTTCAACCTGGTATTGTTGGATGGTATAATTCAAGTAGATATCGTTTTAGTGATATTCATTTTTAGCCCTATTTTCGCCGACTCAGTAAACAGATTATATAGCTTGGGCTGCAACTGTTCACGTCTCTGAAATAGTAATACAATGTTATTACCCAATGCAAGATCTTCATCAGAACCGTTTAATCTTCAATTAATACCAACGACTCAATCCAAAGCTATGATGAAGAGTGTTAATAGGTAATCTAGTGTGAGGGATGACAGTAAAGTAAAGTTAAATGCAATACATTACTTAATTACAATTATTCATGCGTTGATGTTGTCTACCTACAAATGGGGTAATGGAATGTAGTTTGCTGCTTAAATAGATATTTGTTCTCGAAAAAAATGTCTACGATGTTTTTGCTTTCATTTGAACAAATTTGTTATAATTGTAACAATTCAACATTTCTTAATCATTCACATTATCATCCATAATTTGGATAGCTCAACTTCCGAATTATTTTTTTCGTGGCTTAATCCATAAATTCTTTATATTTTTTCTAATTGCTATTATAAAGTTTCCCCCTTATGGCTAGCTTTTCAATGGAATGTCTTCCTTCAATATAAATGATAATATTTAGAAATATGTTTTAAATAAAGATCAAGTCTAGAAAGGTGTTTCACGTTATTATACAATGGATGTAACTACCCCCAAAATAAATTTATCGGTGGTTTCAAAGAAATCTATAATTTCTCGATACAAATTTTCTAATAACTTTGTAATTTAAAACTATGAATTTAAGATTAAATTACTGTAATAAGTTTATAATTTTAATAATTTTTGAAATCAATTTGTATATTTGATTAATATTACATCAAAAATCCATACCGAACTAATATTAACAAATAAGTAACTATGATTTCTGTCTCCTGGTATTACTCCTTAAGTTAGTTAAGTTAGTACTACATACAAGTGTAGTATTAAGTAGTAGTCACTATTCTTAGATACTAATGTATTAAAAAATAATATTAAAAATTTTAATAAACCGATTTTAACAAATTTTTATCATCCATTTATTGGACATTAAAAAAGATTTACAAAATCAGTCTAAATAAATAATTTTAAAAATGTTCGAGTAATTATCCAAAAATAATTTAAAAATTTGCATGAATTATTTGTACCGCATATATATATATATATTTACTTTTGCGATTTAATTATTAAAAAACAAAAATTAATTTATATATTTATAGTATATATAAACGTTTTTTTTTTTGTCTACTGAGTATTCAAAGTTATTCTTGATACCAAAAATCTGTTTTCTTTTCTCAATTTAGCCTCTTTTATTTTTCACGAAAAAAATGATCTTACTCGCTCCTACTAAATTGTGTAAACCAAATCAAATAAAAATCTTTGTATATTTTTGTTGCACTTACGTTTTCATATAACGAATAAAATTTATATAAAATTTTAATTTTACATCATTGCCGCGCCGCGCTCACACACAACTTGAGTTGGCTTCTGTAATTCAGTATTCATTCGGTATCTTGTATCTGCGGGTTGTGTTTAGTTCCGTGTTTTCGAAAACGTTTTCCTTTGAATTTGCTTATTTTATGCTATGCAATAATTTTGCTTCTCCTAAGCTACTCGAATCTATATCGAACTGATAAAAATAGCACAAGTACGTCTCCAATATCTTTGTATCTGTCTTTGTGTCTTTGCTATGCAGCACTAATATCTTCAACATCAACATCAACATCATCATAATCATTATCTTGTTCATCATTTGCAGCATCATTATCGTAAACAGACACAACAAAAAAATTCGTAGCAACATTGAACCAAAAGCATATGACTTGATTCTTTATATTCTGAACCATTCAACAGGCAACGTCCAAGCAGTGTTTCACTGAGAATAAATACAATTTTAAAGATAAACAACGATTTATACAGCACACACAGATACACTCGTACACAAAGATACTATACACCCCATAATTTCGTACGGCACACATCACCATCTCTGAATATACGGCGTCGTTGCAATTGTCGAGAATCAGACTTTTGAAATTGATTTTTATCCATTCATACTCTGCGCTTCTGTTACCTTTAGTTCGGTGCTAGTACGGCTTCTCCTCCTGCTATTCTCGCGCACTCCGCATGCTACACAGATATTCTCTGAGACAAATCGCTTTGGCCATAGATTCTATTCTACTTTAGATCTCGTATTTTTGGCTACAGCTTCTTGGCGTGATTTCATTTTAATTTAATTTTAGTCCAAGGTTTAAAGCGTTAGCTTCTTCATATGTTCGATCGCTTGTTAAATGTGAAAAATTTTCCTCAGTTTTTTTCGGTTGTATCTTCAACTTTGATCTTTTTTAACGGAACGCGCGTACCAAAATAAGATTACTGTAGAACAAGAAAAATTGTATTATTAACAAAGTGGCTGATTTAAGTGATCCTTATAACAGTGCCATCAGCACTAACTCCCCACTAAGGTAAGTGTGGATAATGAAGAACCGATTTAAAGTTTTTTTTTTTTTACATATATATATGTATATATATATGTATACTTATGTGATTTTAGAAATAACAAATAAAAAAAAAAATATAAAAGAACAAAAATTGTGAATTTTCGAAATTCACATCGCGTTTTCTAAGTCTGTACAAAATTTTCTAATTTTCTAATTTTAAAAAAGGCCTGAGTCATTATTTTTGGAAAGTCTTTATTGGCTCTTTAAATACAAAAGTGCGCAATGCTGAATTTACATTTTAAGTTGCAAGTGCTTGAAATCGATCCGATTACGCAATATGTAAATAATTTCAAATAAACCAGTAAAGTATTAATATTATTTTATAATTTAAAATTAACAAAATTAAAATTTTACAAAAAAAAATTCTCTACTTTATAGCAAGTACACTTTATACTGGTACACTGAAACCGTTTATTTTAAAGGATCATAAAATATTTTCTTAAATAAAAATAAAAACAAATTTGAATAAAATTGGATTATATATTGGTCTAGTTGGATGTATTACCTACCGGTGGATCTCTTATAAGTTAATTTAATACTCGTATAGTAGCTTATAATTTTCTTGAAAAAAAAAATAATGTTTGCAGATATTTGAAAGTTTATAAAGAGATTCTAAAAAAGTATAAAATTATGTAAAATATCTTCTTAAATTAAAAGATTTGATGCTTTCAAAACCTTATATTAAATATTAAAATCTAGATGTATTCAAAAGAGTTCGTAAAATTGCTAATAACCGAAATAATGGTTGTTTCAAAAATTTTCAAAAAAAAAAAAGCAAGAAAAAATTAGTATTCAGACATTCTAAATTAAGTATATCCCTATCATTCAAACATCATTCATTCTTAATCTAATACATACTGTATGTATATTCGCTTTTCATGTCTTGAGTTAAAGACGTCCGATTGTAAGGACATCACATAAAATGTCAATTTTAAGGAAATCGAGTCTTAAATAATAAAATAATGACATTTTTTTTCAATTAGTTTAGTAGTTTAAATGTTGTGAGCTATTATATATATGAGAAACGTCATTATATATATATGATAAAAGTCCATTTTTTGCGTAAAAATAAAAATCGAAAATTATTCTATCGCTAAGTCAACCTAAAAAGTTTAGTTTCTTATTATTTAAATTAAAAATCTACGAACAATACCGAAGTTATAACCAAAAGAAAGAAAGTGTCTATATTTAAATTTTTTCAAATTGTTAGACAAAGTATATTACCTATCAGATATTTGAGATTAATTTTCTTAAGATAATTCTAAGAGATATTGTCCCCAGAAAAAAGAATTTAAAAAGTATTTCGAAAACCAATTCAAACAAAATTTTCTTAATCCGTATTCGAGTTTTATGGGTCATATGGGAAAAAAGTGATATAAAGTGCACATTTATGCTGCTAACTAGTATTATATTTGGTTAAAACAGTTTTTCAATATTTAAATTTAGAAAAAGTATGCTATCAAAGCAATTAATTTTTAAATATTAAAGGGACAAACTTTATTTTTTTTTATGATATATTTTCAGTATTATGTACATTATACATATTGCATATTAATATTAACAAATATTAGACTTTTATATATAACAATATGTTGCCGAATCATCTGCTAATGTCGTAGTTAAATTGAAGCAGTTTCATTAAGTATTCACTGCGAACTCACGAACAATCTACTATAAAGTAGAATTAAAGATATAGTCTTTGCACTCTGTATATGACAAATCGTTTAGGTAGATATACGATCGTTATTATTTTTTATAACGATAAAAAATAATTGAGAGGCCTTTGTTGAATCCCCAAACTCTAAAATGGACTCTAATTCTTTTAATATTAAATTGATAATAATATTAAAAATTGATAATAATACTAAATCTTGACATATGCAATAGCTTCCAATACAAGAACTTGTATCTAAACAATAAACTTATACGTCGGCTATATTGAAATGTTTATATTGAAATCAAAACGATCCAAATTTTAGTAGTGTTCATTTGTATATTATTTTGTACAACAACTAAATTTAAAAAATAAATAATTAAAATAAATATTTTCTCTTAAGAATTTATTTTAAAGCCATTGCTTAAAATAGTAACTGTATTCACCAATATAATTTCCTTTCTAAAAGAAATTTTGAAAGAAAGAAAGTTAAGAAATTATATAAATCTTATATTGTTTAAATCACGCACTTAATATATATGTATGTATGTATATTTATTTTCATTTTAAATTTCATTTTTACAGTATGATGTATCTTAAATTAATATATAAATAAATATAAAAATAAATATAATTAAAATAGCGACTGTGACACAATGTCGTCCGTCGACTTATAGTCTAATAGTAGTATTAAAAATAGTTGTATAATAGTGAGTATAAGAATAAACTAGTGTATACACATTATAAATGATAGATGAGCTATAAACTATATATTAATTATTATATTCTGATATTAAATAAGACCGATATGCTATACAATTTTTTACATATTCTGCTACTTTTACATATTCTACCTCAGAACCGTTTAAAATATTTATAATGTTTTCATAAGATAGAATAACATAGCTTTACTAAAGTAAACTAATCGAAACTCTTGTAGAATAGGACAACGGCCTAGAAAATGCACAATATCTTCAGTCTCATCTAAATTACACATACTACAGAGCGCAGATCTATTCGTATATATATCAAATCTGTTTCCATTTAGCTGTATCATGCTACTTCTTGCTTTGAGTATCCAGGTGATATTTTTAATATGTGTTATGTCAGCTATATATTCCTTTACTAGTGATGGTGTTAAGTCTTTATATATTCGGTTAATATATATATATAAACTGTATTTTAATAGTTCAGTGTATTTGTAAGATATAGTAGAATGATTCGGTCATTCTAACGAATGTGCTAAATCAGTTTCAAAGAATCTGTTCATGTGTTTGTTTACGTGAACTGTCTTAAATTACTTTTTATATATACTATATTATTAAATTTATAATTATTCTTAGATTTGCATACTAATAAATTTCTAATGAAAGATGTCTTGTGATCCAAAAAATATTTCTCTTTATACATAAAATGACATATTTTATTATTATTATAAACAAGACCGCTTAGAATTGCTTAGTTAGCTGATTGAGATTCGTTCATGGATTCGTAAATTGCAGTTTGTATTGTAAATTTAAATCTGTTTTTAAAGTTAAAAATCTTTAACACCAATTTCACTAGTGACTCTGTCGTTATTAATGATCGCGGCCATAATAATAAAACAGTAGTTGAAGCATTACCACATATTTTTGTCGAAAAAATCATTCCACAGAAGTAATCCATATAAAAATATAAGTATATAAATATAAGCATATGTAAAATATAATTAATCTCACATGAGTTATAACTATACAGCAATTCCATTAACAATTATCATTAACAGTGGTAGTGCTAATCTAAAGTTTTACATTTACAGTACAATACAACTGACATTGACTTTTGATAATATTCAATACTATAATCTGATCATTTCGATTCATAACAATCAGGGCGGTTGTCTCAGTAATAATTTAATCTTAAAACTGTTTAAGCTCACGTTTAAATCTATACTTAATACCTGTAACAGTTTTAGGACTTACGTTACTACTGTGAAATCAATCCTAAGTGAAACATACAATTTTATTTTTGTTCTGTTTAACTTCATTTTACACAACTTATTAGATCAGGCACAAACCAATTATGTCTGACACATACCAATTATATCTTTCTCAAACCAATTGTATCTATCATAAACCAATTAGTTCTGCAGAATTATCTCATTAAATACGCTATATACAACATTTAAATACAACTCTACGTTTTTTACAATAAATGCTATTTGTTTATTTCAATAAACATTATTACTATCACTTTATTAGGCATCTTCGATGAAATTCTGTATCATTTCATTATATGTTAATAATAATATAAGACGCATACTATATGGGCATATAATTCATAATAATATATACCTCACATTTTTCTATCTTGAAGTTGATTTACAGCTAAATAATCTATAGAAAATTAATAAAATTATATTTTTATAAAATAAAGCAAACTACAAATTGAATTGTTTCACAAATAGTAAAAGAAAATGGAAGTATATGTAGTCATTATATATACAGTATTCAGTATTATATTCATTATAGATGTATTAAAGAAAATAAATCACCTTTTTAATCAGTCATTGATAATATTTCTGTCACTTGTGACGCAATTTTTTCATAATACTTCTACCTTTCAACAATGACAAAATTGTGATTTTATGAATTTTAGACCTGAACTAAAATTTTTATGAAAAATGTCATTATTCAATGTAGTTTACTGTTTATTAATATAAATAAGTGTTCTCTGGAATACCAACGAAAATTGTGACTTTAAATAAGTGGTTAATGTTTTCAATGTAAAGATTCTCTAGCATATTGTATCTAAAAGTAGTTGCAGATATATATTTTACAAATACTTAGACAAAAAAAAAGATAAGTATCACAACGATACAATCTCTTCTTAACACATTAATCTTTCTAATTTTTCTTGTATGAAGGTCTTCAAAATACCCAATTATAGTGGATATAATCTGTGTATTATCTTGGCAAATCAGATGTGTTTGCTTTTACAAATAGAAATATTTCTGGGTGACAACATTAAATTCATCCAGTGTATTTCCATAACATGGTTGTTACCAATCACTTACAGGGTCTCCCTTCATTTTAAAATATAATAGCCACAGCATTTCCAGCAGTTTTCTCTTTTTTAAGTCCTTTTAAATTATTCGATATATTATTTTATTTATTCTTTAGTCTCCGGAGTATATCCACATTTCATTATTGTTTGAGATATTACATAAAATGATCTCCATAATTAACGTGAATCATTTTAACAGAGTCGTGTCAGAAATGTTTGGGTCGTTAGACTTTTTAGTTCTTACGCATAGTGAGCAAAAGAAGTA